CACTGGTGACAAGGGGTTTGGCAGCAAATCACTCCTTGGGTTTAATTTATTTAAAATCTCTCTCAATTTCTCTCTCTCAATTTCTCTCTCTCAATTTCTCTCTCTCAATTTCTCTCTCTCTCTCTCTCTCTCTCTCTCTCTCTCTCTCACACACACACACACACACACACACACACACACAGGCACACACAGTGGAGGAGGGTGAGAAGAGGGAAGAGAGGAGAAAATAGGGTGTGTGAAGAACTCAGACCACTTTCCAGATATAAAGACCTTAAGGCGGTGGGGCATTCAGGCTTCAGTAACCAGACACTCCTCTCACAAGCCAACAAGACTAGTGGGAATTTCAAATGGGAGCAAACAGAACACCCTTGCCCACTCAGGAGCTATGTAGGGAACCTGGCCATTCAAGGCAGTGTCTCGCCATTCCCCAGGTACTACTAAGATGATACCACAGGAAGTCTGGTAAAACTGGAGGATTAAGCAAGGTTCAAGTCTTATCACATATCCAGTGTCCAGGATGCAATGAAAAGAAAAAAAGAAGGGAAGGAAGAAAAAAAATTTCAATTTGAATGAGAAAAAGAAAATCCAGAGATGTTAGCATCAAAATTACAGATCACAAAATTTTCTGACATGAATTTTAAAAATCTACCACTAAAAAAATGCTTAACTGGTGTGGTAGTTTTAATGTAATTGACCCCATAATCTCATAGAGAGTGGCAGGAGAAGTGGCCTTGTTGGAGGATGTGTGTTGCTGTAGGGGCAGGATCTGAGATTTCCTATGCTCAAGAAACCAACCACCGTCACAGACAATTTCCTATTTCCTTTTGATAAAAATGCAGCCAGAACCTTTTCTGCCTGCATGCCACCATGCTCCCTGCCATGATGATAATGGACTAACCCTCTGAAACTATAAGCAACAATCTCAATTTAATGTTTTGTTTTATAGAGTTACTGTGGGGCTGGAGAAATGGCTCAGTGGTTAAGAGCACTAGCTGCTCTTCCAGAAGATCTGGATTCAATTCCCAGAATCCACATGGCAGCTCACAACTGTCTCTAACTCTAGTTCCAGGGATCCAGCATCTTCACACAGACATATATGCAGGCAAAACAACAGTGCACATAAAATAAAAATAAATTATTTTAAAAAAGAGTTACTGTGGTCATGGTGTCTCTTCCCAGAAATAGAAACACGAACTAAGAAAATGGGAAGCTATGCAGATGGCACAGTTGGTAAACTGACTGCCATAAAAGCATGAGGACTTAAGATTGGATCCCTACCATCCACATAAAAGCCAGAAGCAGCACGTCTCTAACCCTAAAGATGAGGACCTGAAGACAGGCAGAACATTTGAGCTCATTGTTCAGCCAACCTAACCAAATGGTGAGTCCAGATTCAATGAGAGATGCTGCCTCAGGAAATAAGGTAGAGCCAGGTGGACCTCTATGCGTTCAAGGCCAACTTGGTCAACACAAAAAGTTCTAGGACAGCCAGAACTACACAACAGAGACTCTATCTCAAAAAAAAAAAAAAGGAAGGAAGGAAGGAAAGAAGGAAGGAAGGAAGGAAGGAAGGAAGGAAGGACTCAAGATGCAGAAAAAATCAAAAAGATACCCAAATAGATTTCTGGCCTACACACACACACATACACATAAATACATATACATGAACATATGGATACACCCACAAGAACATATACATTATATATACACACAAGCTTCAGTGGGCAACTTTGAATATATGAATAATAAATGCAAAAATAATCCCCACAGAGAGCTAACATAAAGAAAAACCAAGTGGAATTTAAAGATGAAAAGGCGAGCAGAATAGATGGGAGGACTGGCTAACTTGAGACAGAAGAGGAACTGGCCAACAGAACAGGAAATGGACCTCAAGCAAATGAGACACTCGGGGCCTGGAAACAACACAAGGAAAAACTTCTCAAGTATTACCAATGCCACAGATAAAGAAATGCCAGAGAAAGAGGCTCAAAACTATTTCCACAAGGACAAAAAATGAAAGGATGAACCAAAAGAAATCCATGAAAAACTCATACTATCAAACTACTGATCTTTTTTTAAGTGGTGAGAGAAATCCCATCTAGAGAGAGAAAGCAACTCAGCTGACAACGGATTGCTCATCAGAACCACGAGCTCTCTGTGGCGTAACTTTTTCAGATGCTGAAAGAATTGTCGTTCTCATTTGCAATATAGTTCTTTTCCTTTTCCTCCAGGAATGCCTCCTGGTGGATGTGTGAAAACACACATTACCAAACAATACACATGGCTATGATTTTTCCTATACATATACACCTATAATACAATTTAATAACAATACATGTCTAAAGAGATTGACACATTCATTTCTTTTGTGCTTGGGAACACTATTGGGTAAATGGGAATTATTTAAACACTGAAGTTGCAGAACAGTCAACGCCATGACAGTCAACACAACAACAGTAGAGGCAATGTTCAAGTGGCTAATCGTCAGGTAATAGAGACAGAGCACAGAAGGGATGGCTCACTCATCTCAGACAGGATGGACTAAGAGACTTCATGCACTATCCAGAGCAGCAAATCTAAACTGCTTATTTCTGGAAATTTGCGTTTAATATTTTCAAAGCATGCTGTGTATAATACATCCACCTGAAAGCACACGAAGTAAAAGTGTAAAGGGGTAGTTATTATACTGGTGAAATTGGCCTTTAGAAATGTTGGGGAAACAGAGACCTCCTCAGATAAAGGAAAACTAAGAGAACTTATTTTCAACACACCTACTCCCAAAGAATCACTACAGAATTGTTTAAATGGAGCAGAAATAAGAAATTCTAGAATATCAGAAAATGGGCAGTCAACAGAAAGGGCAAAAATATGACTCAATGCAAGAAACTTTGTCTTCTTGAGGTTTCTAAACTGAGAGATGAAGCAAAGGCTACAACAGTGTCAGATGTGGGCTTCCAATATACACAAAGCTACAACAATATACACAAAGCTACAACAGTGTCAGATGTGGGCTTCCAATATACACAAGGGGAACATCTGTATACTTTCAAAAGCAAAACTTACGTAGAACATTACAAGTACATTGCCAAGGAATTGGCTAAAGGGACATAAAGAGGTAAATATTACACTTAAATATAGTATACTGTGGTGCACTGTACGTGTATATACTACAATGTCTAGAGCTACTCTAAGTATCTGCAACACAGGGAGAGGCACTGAAAAACACTATACATGAGTCAAAACAGTTCTATGAGTGCGAAAGGCTAGTCTGGGCTAGCCTGGTCTACAAAGTGAACCTGCCTCAAAAAAAGTTTGTTCAAATAACCCAAAAGACAGCCAGAAAAGGATGAAAATGAGAAATGGAAAGTAAAACGCTGCACTTAGGTTCTAATGTATGGAAAATCAGCGTGAAGATTAATGCCTTCAGATACCTATTTCAAAAAGTACTGAGCCAGGCATGATAGTGTAGGCCTGTAATCCCAACACTCGGGATGTGGAGACAGGAGGATAAGGAGTTCTAGGCCACTGCTCTACAGTGTCAGACCCTGACTCAAAAAAAAAAAAAAGAAAAAAAAGAAAAAAAGGAAAGGAAGAAAGAAGGAAGGAAGGAAAGAGTGGGATGACCTAGACAAACTGAACAAAGAAAGAAAATAATCAGAAACAAAGAGGAGTATTACATAATCATAAAACCAAAAACCCAGCATTAGACATTGACTCTCAGGAGTCATCAAGCAGTATGTAGGTATCAAACAGGAGAGCTTCAGAATATGTAGAACAAAAAGACTCAAAATATGACAAGAATGAATTTAAAAAGCTGCGCATCTCCAAATTTCCTAAAATTGAATCACTTATAAAACTATTAATGCAGTTCTCTTCTGGGTACCATCAAAGAGAATGGGAGAAATGGTGGCTTGGTGCATCCACTTCTTCGACGTTAAGCACTCTGAAAAGGAGCACCTAACAACCAACGTTCCCATAAGAGTAAAATATATGAACCACCAATTTAAAGATGAGGAAACTGGAGCTTAGAGAAAAGAAACGACCCCAGGTCATAGTAGTTAAGTACATGGACCAAGATCCAAATCAGTTCTCTAACATCATTCGAACACTTGCCCTGTTAGTCTCTCGACTTCCAATAGTCCTTAGTGTCCAGCCTGATGACCCTTGCAGTATACTCAATAATTTCCATAAAAACAAATCCGGCAGGGTGTTGTGGCACATGCCTTTAATCCCAGCACTAGGGGAAGCAAAGGCAGATGGAGCTAGCTCTATGATTTAGAGAACAGTCTGCTCTGCAGAGCTAGTTCCAGGCCAGCCAAGGAAACACAGTGAGACCTTGTTTTTAAACAGAAAAATAAATAATGTTCAACCCAAAAAGTATTTAAAAGCTCTGATTCGGAAGGGACTAGCTATTCAGTGATATCTACATTTTTCTTCTTCGTACTAAGGGCTGTTTCTTCAATACAGAGGTATTGGTAACTACGAGGTAATTAACTCTCCACTTTAAAGTTTCTTTTATAAACCATAGTATTACTTTCTTTGTGTAAGACATTATATATGAGTATGAGACTTCCGCTTGAAGCAAGGTCTGCACATTTTAACTGCATTGATAAACTATGGCCACTCTCTAAATAATCCATGTCTACCCTCCAAAACAGCTGTCAACAGAAAGTACTGTGCCGTACACTCGTGGCTCAGGACAAAGAGGGACTAATAAGCTCTTCGCGTCGGGAAAAATCAGTGACACCCAGAAGACGTGCTTTTCACACTCAACATGAGTTGCACCTGTCACCTCGGCCAGCTCGCCCACACGGTAAGTTCTGGGACTCCCGACACACGGGAGAGGCGGAGCGGCGTCCCTGAGCGCCCGGGCGCGGCTCAGTCCGCCGCCCTCGACTCTGGAGTCCGAGGCCTGGTGGACGCCCGACTCGACGACCCCTCAAGGACCACGGGCGGCGGGGACGACCCGCGGCGCCGGGAAGGATCGGGCCCGCGGTTACCTGCCGCGCCGGTCGGCACCCGGCCCGGGCCCGGTGGCGCTGTAGTAGGCCGCGCGTCTGTGGCTGGCTGAGGCGGCCGCCGCGCTGCGCACCGGGTACAGAGGGATCTGGTCCGCCATGCTCCGGCCAGCCCCGCCAGCTAGACTCAACTCCGCGTCTCCTCCCAGCCGGGTCCACTCACTTCCAGCCAGGGCCGCAGCACCCCAGCGCAGCGCCCCACCCCCGAGTGTCGCCTGCTGATGGCGTCACAGAGCGGCGGAAGACCGCTCTGGGAGGTGGCTGTCACAGGTCCCACCCCTGCCGGCTGTGTCTGATGACGGCGATTTGAAAAGAGAGTCGCCATGGCATTCTTAAGCTCCGCCCCTGTCCTATGTCACCCAACTGTTACAGTAGTGCCAGAGGCTCTTTCTCTTAAGTCTCTCTTCTCTCTCTCCTCTCTCTCTCTCTCTCTCTCTCTCTCTCTCTCTCTCTCTCCTCTCTCTCTCTCCTCTCTCTCCTCTCTCTCCTCTCCTGTCTCTCTCTCTGTGTCCCTTTCTGTCAATGTCTCTTCCCTCTTGTCTCCTTTTCTTCTCTTTCCTTGCCTTTCTTTGTGTGAGTCTCTCTCTTTCTGCTTCTCTGTGTGTCTGTGTCTCTCTGCCGGTGTCACCTTCTGTCTCTCCTCCCTCTCTCTCTGTCTCTCTCTCCTATGTGTCTACTCTGTTTCTCTCCTTTTTTTCTGTGTTTCTTTCCGCTCTTTTTCTGTCTTTCTGTGTCTCTTTCTGTCTCCATCCTCTCTGACACTCTCTCTCTCTCTCTCTCTCTCTCTCTCTCACACACACACACACACACACACACACACACACACCGGCCCTGCAACCGATCCCCATTGTTGGAGCACTCTAGCCCAGTGGTTCTATTGTCTCCAGTTTCTTGGAAGCCTGGCTGTAGAAGTGAAGGTGAATGCAGCCTGCAAGTCAGGTTCTGGCAGGATTCACATGCTTGGAAACCCTACCTGTGCCATTCCAGACCTGAACTCATTCAGTCATCAAAGGTCCAGCCTTCATTTGCAAAGGTGGGTGGTGAAAGCCACTACTCTTGTCAGCCTAGACCAGCCCAGGATCCTCATCAATACCTGTGGGGCTGTCTATGCTACACCAGGGCTAATTCCTCTCTGTGTTCCACTGTCGACCAAACTCCTCCTTTATGCTGCTAGTTATCTTTCATTCCATCTGAAGAATAAGCTGGGCCTGCTCTGAGTCACTTTGTAGTATAGAATAGCCACTTTCAGGTTCTGCCTATCCTTGAGCAGCTCTATTTGACAAACCAAGAGCCTTGAACTTAGCTATTCTGAATTTTGTTTATACAGGTAAGCGCCCGCCATCTGCCAGCACGCCAGGAGGCACAAACTGATCATTTATTTTATGCCAGTAAATAATAACACCTATGAAAATATCAAACCAGAAGAAGCAGGCATGTGCATTTATCAATCAAACCTTGCACCTGGGACTATAAAAAGAACACCCCAAGACCAAAATGTGGCAGGCATAGCTTAAGGAACCTCTAGGGAATAGCCATAGCAAAGGACTTCTGCCTCTGTCCCCAAAGATTCCAAGACAGTTTCTCCTGGTTATGACACCATAGTCATTTCATAGTGACACTAGAAATGTCTGTGCCTCATGTGACTTCTTGTGTGATCCACTACAGATGTTCTGCCTCCCACTTGAGACAGTTTTTCTGAGCTCTACAGCCTTTTCCCCTTCCTTTGCCATTGAGAGAGAGAGAGAAGGTTTTAAATGGGTGTGGTGTGTATGCTCTGAGAGTTATTGAATTAAAAGGATGTGGTTTTCATTTTGATTGTCAAGTTGAGACTTAAAACCATCCAGAAGTGTGACCCTAGTGAAGAGTCTTCGTAATGGAAGATATGGACTTGAATCAGTCATCTTCTGGATCCAGATCAGTATTAACATAACTGTCGGAGAGGCTTCATTCAGCAACTCATGGGAGCAGATGCAGAGACCCACAGCAAACATTAGGTGCAGCTCGGGAAATCCTGCAGAAGAGATTGAGATTCTCGGATTCTAAGAGCCAGAGTGGTCAAGACATCACAAGAACCCAGCCCACAGAACCAACTAACCAGGACCCACAGGGGCTCACAGAAACTGAACTGACAACAGGGAACCTGTAGGGTCTGAGCTAGGTTTTCTGCATATATGTTATGGTTATGTAGCTTGGGGTTCCTGTGGGAGCAGGGGCTACCTCTGACTTTTTTTTTTTTTTGCCTCCTTTGGGAACACTTTTCCTTCTGAGTTACCTCATCTGGCCTTGATATGAGAGGATGTGCCTGCCTAGTTTTACTATAACTTGATATGTCATGTTTGGTTGATGTGGCTGGTAGGCCTGCCCTTTTCTGAAGAAAAAGGAGGAATGGATCTGGGGGAGAGAGGATGTTGGGGTTGGGACTGGGAGGAGAGGATGGAGGGGAAACTGAGGTCAGTATATAATATATGAGAGAAAAATTTGTATATAATATATGTGTATATATATATATATATATATTTGCACAGGAGTTAATAGAAAGAAGAGGTCAAACTGACCCAAACCAAATAAAATGAAGACAGAAAGCTAAATAAAAATAAATAAAATAAAATAAAACCATCTGGAACATAACCCTCTGGATATGACTGATTTTCCAGAGAGGTTTTAACTGAGGTGGGAACACCCACCCAGAATGGGTGACACAGTTCCATGTGCTGGAGTCCCAGACTGAATGAGGAAGAGGACATGATGGAACACTAGCATTCCTCTCTCTCTCTCTCTCCTCCCTCTCTCTCTCTCTCTCTCCTCCCTCTCTCTCTCTCTCTCTCTCTCTCTCTCCTCCCTCTCTCTCTCTCCTTCCTCTCTCTCTCTCTCTCTCTCTCCTCCCTCTCTCTCCCTCTCTCCTTCACCACACTGCTGCCACCGTAGCTAGAGGCACTCTGACCATGAAACAGAACAAACCCTTAAGTTGCTTTTTGTTTCCAGGCATTTTGTCCCAAGATGAAAAGTAACCAATACAAACGGGAATTAAAAGAATACAATTTGCAAAGGACATTCTGCCGAGTAATTGGATTGCATGGTCAAAGGCAAAGAAGCCGATGTGACTCGTGAATCAAGTGTTTGCTGAACTCTGACATTGCAGAGACCTAAGCGTGTCGATCTAGGTTTCTGAGATAGCACAGCTCATACCACCGTTTCATGTGTGCCTCATGCTTCTTTTCTACACTGAAACATGTTGAGATTTTCTCCTTATTTCAAAAGTGTATTTTTTTACTAGTGTAGTTGAACAATTAAGTCTCCAGAGAGTTCTATGTTTGCTGTTTTGTTCATAATTGTTTTTTAAAAAAATATGACTCCACATGGTTTCATATAATGTAAAAGTCAGAATAGTTTTAAGAACAGTAACAGGTTTCTGAGTGTTTGACAACCAAAAATTAGTTCAGAATCAAACAGCCTATCTGAACTGTTTTGGGCAGTGCGCGCCTGAGTTGCGTCATGTGACTTCACTGCAGTCTTGTCTCTAAGCATGCACCCACACACTTTGCACTGGGCATAATGTCACACCAAGTGGTGCCAATGAACTCTGTCTGAAGCAGCTCAGCTCAGAGTCGTGTTGTTTTATTATGTATACAAAGTTTTCTGCTCGTGCGGAAACACAACAGTTTAATTAAAGAAAGCAAAGATGTGTGATGTTTTCTTACCATCATTACATAAATTTCAGATTAGTATATCTTTGAGTTGACTAGTGTTAAGACGTTTGATTTGGAAATGGCATGTGAGTGGCTTGTGTTTTACTAAAAAATCATTAACTGAATTTTGACTTGGAATGAAGACAAAATTTTACAATTCTCAAAATAACTCTGAATATACTTCTACCATTTTGTACTTTATATTTATGTGAAGTAGCATTGTTAACATTGATGGTTATAAAATTAAAATATTGATGAACTCTTGAAAATATTGAAGCCACCTTCAATATTCTGCAATATCAAATCTTCCAACAGTATTTAATTCTTCATGGGAAAATAAATAGCACATCCATCTTATTAGTGTGTAAGTTTTCTTCCATCTTTAATAAACTGTTAATTTATATGTACATAATTTTTCTTAAATTATGACTTGCTGTCAGTAATTGTTTCACTTGGATACCTATCTTATATGCTTGTGGTGTAAGGATTCTCTTGCAGTTCTCAGCCTTCCTAATGCTGTGACCCTTTAATACAGTTCCTCATGTTGTGGTGACTCCCAACTATAAAATTATTTCACTGTTATTTCATAACTGTAATTTTGCTACTGTTAACTGCTATGACTCATAATGTAAATATCTGTGTTTTCTGATGGTCTTAGGCAATCCCTGTGAAAAGTCATTTGATCCCCAAAGGGGTCATAACCCATAAGTTGAGAACCACTGCTCTAGAGAAAAGATGATAGAATGAATATATAGAATAAAGGAAATTTATTCGATCAGATTACATAGTTATGACTAGGTAATCCAACCATAGGCTATCTGCACACTACAGAGCCTGAGAATCTCATAGCGGCTCAGTCCATGAAGCCCAGTACATTGGCAGTACCAATATGGCACTAAAGACCTAGAAGATTCTTGAAAAGTCACTGGGCTTTAGTCTGCATTGGGATGCAAAGAATCTAGAAGTCTGATAGTTAAGATGGCAACAGCAGCAGAAATAAAGACTCAAGAAATGGAGACAGGCAGACAACCAGCATGCCTCTTCCTTAGACTTTTTTCTATCTGGGCTGAGTCAGAAGGTATCCTCAGGTATCCTCAGGATACTTCAGTTAATCCTTCCTAAAACTGGGCACACAGACATTCCCAAAGGCCTGGCTCATTTGATTCCAGATCCAATCAAATGAACTATCAATATTAACCATCAGACCTATGTATCCATAGGTATCATGAAAAAGAGTCATAGCAGAGTGGTCCTGCTCAGGAGAAACAGGACCTGTAGGTGATCTCTCTCTCTCTCTCTCTCTCTCTCTCTCTCTCTCTCTCTCTCTCTGTGTGTGTGTGTGTGTGTGTGTGTGTATGTGTGTGTTTGTGTGTGTGCGTGTGTGACCAGATATGTAACAGGGTATACATAGTACATTGATTCACATGTTTATGGAGGCTGACAAATTTCAGGACATACCAAGTTGCCAGCTGGAAACCCAGAAAGGCCAGTAACATCATCCAAAGGCCCA